GTTGAGAGAAGAATGCAGCTCTAAATAGTCCATACCTATTAGGATGTCAACTATGGGCCGAGAACTTACCTCTGGGAATTGAATATTCCTCAAATGTGGCCATTGCTTTGCATGTTTACGCCAATCAATAACTTCAATTCTACCTGTTACTTTGGTAGTTGTCAAAGCTGTAATGGTCATGTCTACTGAACCATCCATACTCTCTAGGCCAACATCAATTAGCATACTGTCAAAGGTCTCCTGTTTATTATTCAGGACATTGACCGACACTTGTTGTGTATTACCTTGCACACCAAGTTCATATGCTACATCCTCGTTGATGTAAGTATGCGTACTAGCATCATCGAGCAATGCGTTCACGGTCATTCTGTGATTACCATTCTTAAGAACGACAGGAATTGTCCTAAGAGCAAGATAATGTGCTTCCTGTTTAGAAGTTGACAAGGTGGTTATCTCTGATCTACTTTCATGAGACTTTGTGGTTGTATCATTAACCTCCGCAATATCACTGTCAGCCCTATCGTTCCTGGCCACTTTGCTGTTGTCATGAAGTAACCTGTTATGATTAGCCTTACAGCCATCAAGCCCACATTTGACAATTCTACTGCATGATTTACCCAGATGACCGATGTCAAGGCAGCGAAAGCATAAACCTAACTGTTTTGCCTTATCCCACCTTTCTGGTAGACCAAGTGATTTGAACTGTGCACAACCCCACGTGTCATGATCTGTTCCATGACAAACATGACATTGCCTTGCCTTAGCTCGGTTATGTGTGCTTGCGAATGTTCCGTTCTTGTTGCTATCTCTCCTATCTGTTGTCTTTGATGTGTTAACTATTCCATGTTTTACTTCTGAAGCTATTGTCTGGAACTCTGCCTCTTGTAGTATCAATTCCCTAAGTGTCTCAACTGACTCTTGTCTTTGGTGCTCAAACATCCATCTGTGAAACTGCGTTATCATAGCCTCTTTTTAACCAGTAGTGAAGACAAACACCCACTCACCAATTCCTCTATCGTGTCAGATTCATTCAAACTGACCACAGCTACATCAAGCATGTCAGCAAAATTGTCCAAATCTTTAGCACCCCCTGGTCGTATTGGCCTGAAATTATATATTTCTTCCAGTTTCAGTGCTATCTGACGTCGTTTGCCGCCATACTTTCTATCCAACCTTTCTAAGGCCACATCATAGACTGAGGCACTGTGACCTAACTTAGCTACAAGTTGTGCTGCTTCACCAGAAAGATACTGTTTAAGCTGCTGAAGCTTATACTCATTAGTGGCTGGAGCTTTATCAACACATGCCATGAAAGCAGCTTTCCAGCCTTCGTATTCTCTAGTGTCACCATGAAATACTGGGATGGATACTCGCTTCAATTGTTTCCACATGTCTTCACCTAAATTGTGCTGCCTAGATGACGTACCTGAAGAGGAATAATACCCTTCGGTGTTAAGTGGAAGCTTACTAACCACATTTGACTTTTGTGAAACACAGCCTATGTTGGGTGAATTAGGTTTGTCACCTTGCCTAACGCCTGAACCATGTTGTGAACCTTTACAGTTCTCATGCGAATGACTTGCATCAGAATGAAATAACCTTGATATTCCAGACTTAATGCTCGATGCCTTTGAACTAGCAGGTGCATTGGTTCTAAGAAACCCTTCAGCATTATCAAGGGCCAGTTGAATCTCATCTTCAACAATTTCAATTTCCGTACGAGTTTTCTGAACTTTGTCAGAGTCACCAATCAAGCTGTAAGCCTCTAATAACTCAACTATGATACCTATAGCCTTGCTCTGCAAGGAACTAACCTGGTCTATGGCATTCCTGATTTTTTTACGATCTGGAGTCTCAATTTCAACTAAATTCAACAATTTGTTCTTTGCTTTAGTTAAAGCCGACTTTGATACAGTCTTCTGATGCTTAAGTTTGGCTATTCTCAGTTCTATCTCGCCAGGAGCGACCTCTAACATAGACTTAGCAGTTGGCTTGGACTCTGACATAGTGAATAGTTATTTCACAGTAACTGTTCTATGTCTTAAATTATCTAACTGAACTAAATGCTAACACAACTATAACTGTGGTATTCTAACCAGAGAAACCACGCTCTGCTACCAAATGTTGCGCAGTGGAAAATAAAACGACTGGGCAGAGCTATGCAAATTAACTGAAATCTAATGAACTAAAATTTTGAACTTACCTTTTGGCCTAAAACAAGGAACTAAACGTGATAACTATTATAAGTGAGAAAACTATGAAATTTACAAAGAACTAAACATGATTCTCTTATGTGATTCTAAATGAACTTTGAAATGAAATGACCCGCTAACTACCACTAATTGCCTAACCTTTAAACATACTAATGCAAGTTCAACAAACGAACGCCACAATAGCCAATTGAAACTACACATCTAACATGTAAGTCATTCGTAGTCTAAATGACTTAACACGAACTGTAACTAATAGCACCAAATGGCAGAAAGGAGTGAATGCCCCGTGTATTGGTGACCACCGTCTTATATATGCAAAACCTATTCGTTTTTCCCGTAGACTTCTCCAAGTGTGTTCAGGCGATACGCCTAGTATGCTCTGAGTGCGTTTGAGCGAGCAGTTTAAGTGATAAAACCAAAATGCCTTCTGAACACCACTATCTATTGTACCAAACTATGAGAGGAACACATGAACCACCTGTCAGACCACAGTCTACTGTACCAAACTATGAGAGGAACACATGAACCACCTGCCAGACCACTATCTACTGTACCAAACTATGAGAGGAACACATGCACCACCTGTCAGACCACCATGTAATGTACCCAACTATGAGAGGAACACATGAACTCCCTGTCAGAACACTATCTACTGTACCAAACTATGAGAGGAACACATGAACAAGCTGTCAGGCCACTATCTACTGTACCATACTATGAGAGGAACACATGAACCACCTGTCAGACCACTATCTACTGTACCAAACTATGTGAGGAACACATGAACCACCTGTCAGACCACTATCTACTGTACCAAACTATGAGAGGAACACATGAACCACATTTCAGACCACTGTCTACTGTACCAAACTATGTGAGGAACACATGAACCACCTGTCACAACACTATCTACTGTACCAAACTATGTGAGGAACACATGAACCACCTGTCACAACACTATCTACTGTACCAAACTATGAGAGGAACACATGAACCACCTGTCAGGCCACCATCTACTATACCAAACTATGAGAGGAACACATGAACCACCTGTCAGACCACCATGTACTGTACCAAACTATGTGAGGAACACATGAACCACCTGTCAGACCACTATCTACTGTACCAAACTATGTGAGGAACACATGAACCACCTGTCAGGCCACTATCTACTGTACCAAACTATGAGAGGAACACATGAACCACCTGTCAGGCCACTATCTACTGTACCAAACTATGTGAGGAACACATGAACCACCTGTCAGGCCACTATCTTCTGTACCAAACTATGTGAGGAACACATGAACAAGCTGTCAGGCCACTATCTACTGTACCAAACTATGTGAGGAACACATGAACCACCTGTCAGGCCACTATCTACTGTACCAAACTATGAGAGGAACACATGAACCACCTGTCAGACCACTATCTACTGTACCAAACTATGAGAGGAACACATGAACCACCTGTCAGGCCACTATCTACTGTACCAAACTATGAGAGGAACACATGAACCACCTGTCAGGCCACTATCTACTGTACCAAACTATGAGAGGAACACATGAACCACCTGTCACCTGTCAGACCACTATCTACTGTACCAAACTATGAGAGGAACACATGAACCACCTGTCAGGCCACCATCTACTGTACCAAACTATGTGAGGAACACATGAACCACCTGTCAGACCACTATTTACTGTACCAAACTATGTGAGGAACACATGAACCACCTGTCAGGCCACTATCTACTGTACCAAACTATGAGAGGAACACATGAACCACCTGTCACAACACTATCTACTGTACCAAACTATTAGAGGAACACATGAACCACCTGTCAGGCCACTATCTACTGTACCAAACTATGAGAGGAACACATGCACCACCTGTCACAACACCATCTACTGTACCAAACTATGTGAGGAACACATGAACTACCTGTCAGACCACTATCTACTGTACCAAACTATGAGAGGAACACATGAACAAGCTGTCAGGCCACCATGTACTGTACCAAACTATGAGAGGAACACATGAACCACCTGTCTGACCACCATTTCAGCCTGGGAATCAAAATAAATTTGACACAAATAGACACACGTTTAAATCGTACGTTTATACTCATCTTTCCCTGAAACCTTCATTTTATTGCGGCCTAAACGTTATTTTTCTAAAAAAAAAAAAGCATTTAAACAGTAACTGCATGCTATATATCTCCATACTAGACTGATTTACACCGCTCTACTCTTCACGAAAACCGAATGTCTCTGTGGTCTACTGGACTGAGCGTCCAATCAGAGAGGCAGGTCAGTGGTTCGACCCCCCGGTCATGTCATACCAAAAGAGGTTAAAGGATTTTTAATATTTGGATATAAACTCAAAGATTGTTCAAATCGTGTTAAAATCCAAATGATTTCTGAGTTGAAGTGTATCAAACGAAACGTACATACTGACGGTCTGGACAGTCTTTTTTTTTGAACCCACAACTAAATATATTGCTGAAGGTTATTGACAGCCTCATCCACGGGCCTGTTGTCAGAACCATGGGCCCGATACTACCGCCACCTGTATACTATAACGTCGACTTGAAACGTCTTTGTAGGGTCCAGATGGGATTCGGGACCATGGGGTAGCCAAGTGGTTAAAGCGTTCGCTCGTCAAGCAGAAGGTCTGGGTTCGATTACAAATGAGCCTAATGGGTGAAACATCTCTGGTGTGATACTTTTGCGAAATTGCTAAAAATGCAAACTCACTGGTACCATAAACGCAATGGAGGCATGACGTCTACCTGCGTCTGTCAACATTGACAACCCTGACTAATTTGAGTACTGCGTCTCGGAGTTCTTTGTTCAACACAACTGAGGTACACATCCTGACTAGCGGGTGGATCCGGTACACGGAGAACGATATGATTCCAATGATACCTTTACTGGGTGGATCCGATTTATTCCGGATTGCGTTCAGGACGCCTGGGCCAACATAGAACCCGATAAACTCAACAAATATGATCATGATGCATCTAAAAATGACATCATCCATTTTTCTGTTAACGTCGTGGCTGGCTGCGGGAAGGGGTAAGGTCATAACCGCCTGGACCCGCTGGAGTGCGTTCTTCGTGTGGAGGTACAGCTTCACATAGCATCCCAGGATAGTAGCCACAATGGGGAGGTATAATGCAGTGATACTCACAACGTCCAGGTGGGGTCCAGTGTGGTCACATGTAAATTTATAATCTATATATTCAACTGATCCCCCAACAGCTGCTGCCATGACGACTGGGACTGTCCACACTGCAGCCATGACGACAGACATATACTTCCAGGTGCTGATCCTAATGTACACACTAGACCAACACACCTGGGTCAGTCTGTACACGGCGATCGAACATATAGCGCACGCGCTTGAACTAATTGCACCAAAAGTCACAAAGGATTGAATGTAGCAGACGACAGTGCCATATGGCGGGAAACCATGCAGGAGAGTGGCGATATTCAGAGGAAGGGATATGGTTACGAAACAGATATCTGACAGGAAGATATTCGCCATGAGCAAGTACAAGGGGCGTCGAAGTTTCCTGGTCTGTAGGATGGTAACAAGAATGAGAAGATCTCCAACAGGAGCTATCACAAGCACACACATCAGGATTGTCACGGTCACGTTTGTCCCGCTTTGGGACAGGGTGTCTCGGATCGGCATGTCAGTTGTCGAGTTCATGTCGCACTTCCTCTAGACTCCAAACAATGTAATGGAGTCCTCAGTTGTCTTCTTGTAGCTGTTCACAATAGAAATAATCACGGTCAAACTTGCCCGACACTTGAAAGCCAGAATTTTTTCATGTGATGAATTTATAATCAAATACAAGCTAATACATTTTACAAAAGGTACATTGTCAGAACATTCCATTTCAAAAACAGACCCAAACTACGCATTTGATGGTTCTAGTAATGTATGGCTTAAGGTAACGAGAGCTGGTGCTGATGGGAATGTATCCACTTGCTTGCATTGCAGTACTGAACCAGCTAGGTGACAGCGAAACTGTTAGTTTCGTTCTAATATAACGCTACCTGTTAGTTAGACGTCGGTCTATTCTCTACAGGTAGAAACAACGCCAGAAGATCTATGTCGCCAGACTGAATTTTATGATCAATGGCTCTGACTAAGTTAGCTTTCAGTAAAGGATAGCAAGACCATCGCACTTATTTTGATTAACCTTCTAACAGGTTTGGGACATTTGACGCTTTGTGGACAGAGACGAGGACGGTTTGGACTTGTTCCACGTGTTTTCAGTTCACCTGGCTCACCTTCAGGTATTGTGTGTATGGCGGGTGTCACAGGTGAGGCAGGAAACGTTCACCATCTGCGAACACCTGGTATCACCACTATTTTTTAGTGACACAAATACATATACGTATACTTCTGGTAGATTTACCACCTGAATCGTTCAATGAACGCTTTAATATGCTTATGGAACTGGGTTTGTCGCTATATTTACATTACTGCATCATCATCATCATCATCAATGTTCAAATATTTCAGATTGTCTGTTTTGATGTGCACTATTTATAGGTAAGATTAAATTTGTTATAGCAAACTCAATAACGCGATGTAAACCATGGGAACACCTACGACCGTGACGTCATAAGGTGCTGTAACTGAGCGAGGCGTTAAACAACAAACAGATACAAGCATTCAATGTAACATTGCATTACGTAATTGTACTTACCTGTATCAGCCACACCGTCTCCTTGCACTCCGCCTCTCTGTCTGCCTCCCTTTTACACCTTGTATCGCCAGCTCCAACGCCAGAGAATTTGTAATCTTAATCATCTACCGAGACAGACTTCATAACACAACAGTATACAGCCATGAAGAGATGCTCTGAAGAGTAGCGACAGTGTTCGCCAAAAGGGTCAGCGTAATGCTCGAAAGCTAATCAGCGGCTTAATCTTGTTACTTACGACGCCATATGGATTTACACACACGACAGGCGCGATAACGATATCACTTGGACAGTATTCCTAAGATTCAGTTAGATGGATTCTTCACATTACACCTCCATCCCATCTCGCACAGTTGCATCAACTGGGCGCGTGATTATCTCCGGCGAATCAATTAAATGTGTAGAGTAGGTCCCCATTGGTCCGGTTGCTTATTAGTTCGAATATCAGATGTCCCCTTCGAACGTTCTACTGACACGCTGTTAGATAACTTAATTACCGTTCCCTCATCCTGTGCGTGAAACATACAGGTTCTCTGTTTATCCGTCCAACTACATATGCATGTCTGGGTTCTAAATGGTCGATGTCCACTCAGGCTGTGTCGGAAACTAACAATATGCACACAACAACCTTGCTTCAAACAAGAATTGGGAGAACGTAGGAGTACCGATGTACGGCAACAAATAAACGTATATTATAAGATAAGATAAGATAAGATAATTCTTTATTGCCCATAGGGAATTCTTTGTACGTGAGAGCAACACAATCCCAACATATATAAGAAAAACAAAGTATGACACCCACAGACACGCACACCCGTACACACCGAGGACAGGATGATCCTAAAATATATAATTATAATAAGTGTACTCAAAAGAGCAGGTAATTACACACATAAAGTCATATGACAAACAACACGTGAAGAACAACTGACATGTTAAAAGCGAACGTTACTGTTTAAAAGTGATATGCTTGTTGGAATAAAATAGAGCTTTGAACGGTTGGATTTAAAACGAGGCAAAAGGTACCTACGGCCGGAGGGTAAAAGTTGATAACAATTGTGTAAGAAGTGAGAGGACTCATTTAACATTTTTTCAGCTAAATTAACAGTTTGCCTTTGGTAGATATTCCCCAAAGTTTCAAATGATGACCCGGTTATTTGGTTTTCTGAAGTCAAATTATATCTCCGGATTACAGGTACGTCAGAGAAGGCGAGTAAATTGAAACAGATTCCAATTTTCTACATATCAATGTTTTAAGGTGATTGGCATTTCAGAAGTAAATTTCCATGTGAACCTGTGGGTTAACTTCCACATACTTCTTGTTTTTAAAAGGCAAGTTACCATAATTATATACATGTTTACAAAAGTTGGTTATGTTTGACTATAACACCCTCGTTCCCTTCATTAATTGTTGATTTGAAGTTTAACAAAATAAATACACAACTGATTTCCCCCCTTTAATGCATCATATTGCATCTCCCTACAGGTGCCGGATGTGGCCCAAGTGATTCCAGAATACAGGTTAATGTTTGCTCACTTTAAGTATCAATTTGTCTTAATAATGTCTGCACTACTTGTTGAAGACACTTCTTTGTCTCTGGCATTTATACCTAATGTTGAGACTTTCTAAAAATAATTGTCAGCATATTTAAATAGTGCTTCTCCATCAAGAGAACATTTGTCAACATAATAGGCGTGTGTTCGTTTTTCGTTGCATTTCATACATCATATAAGCTTGTTAGAGCGATACCTCAAGAAAGAAATGATGGATTTTGTTCAAATTTGGTACCAAGGTGTATTGGCGAGATTCACCGACACCACTTGAATTTAGTGACCTTGAGATAATTTGCAAGGTCCCAGCAAAAATCTGAGGATTTTGCCAATATAAAGATTTCGAGCACGATAACTCAAGAAATAATCCATATTTTACCCGGTGCATATCATATGAAAACAAATGACTACCGATATGTTTGCCCTCGTAGGTAATAAGCATTGTTATTATCATTGTTTGAAGTTAATGTCACCTGCTGATTTGTGTTTGTATCTTGCGCGGTGAAACTGATGGTTTCCTTAGTGTACAAATAACAGGTGTCGACTTACATTGTATACCTTATAGAAGGTTGGACTATACTTTGATAAAGAGCACATAATATGATCGATTCCTCGAAACAAATGATACAATTTTTCTACATTAGAACAGCATTTCTACATTATATGTTAAATGCATAAATCAAATACAACAAATGAGTTGACAGAATGACTGGCATGTGTCAAGGAATAACCAGACGCCAGCGATTCATGATATCCTTAGCAAATGTAGCATAATATTCCCTCTCATAAAACTAGTAATGTGATGAAGAAAGTAATGCCAGCCCGGTTAAACTGGGACAACGCAATGTATGATCGAAACATAAATCACATATGATCAAAACATCAAATTAACTACAAATGTGTCCTTACGTCAACCTTGAAAATAATTCAAAAGTGAAGAAGAATAAACGTACTTTTCAAAGCGTAAACAAACAATATCCTGTTATTTTGGGATATGTGTATGTAGAACTTCAAAATGAAATAGAATTAACATGAAATTATTGAAAGCTATTGTTCGTAAAATATGTCCTTGCGTCAACATTGAAAATAACTCCATAACGAAAAACAATTTTAATATTCAAAACATACACAAATTATCCTGGTATTTTAAAGACGTGTCACGAATAATTTCACAGCTGGTAGAATTAACTATGGAAACCAATTACAAACAAAATTTTGAAAATCGGTAATGAAAAAGTTTTTGTCACAAACATGGATATTACCCCGCCACATGTCAATATATGAATATCGCAATAATCCTCGGCGTGACCCTGAAAATTATCTAAAAGTCCCCAGTCCTAACTTGACACACAGAAGGAAGCATGCTACAAAAACAATTTTTATATCATTGGAAAGATCTCAAGGAGATGAATCCCAAAATATAATGTGCAAGTGTATTCATATGTTCATAAGCTCACAAATTGGCTCTGAAAATGCATTTATGCAGAAATTTCTGGCAGAATTTTCTTTTTCTGCAGAAATTTCTGGCAGAATTGTTTTTGTTTTAAGTAAGATGTAGCAGAATTGTTTGAATTCAGCAAACATTATGCATAGTTAAGTATAAACTTCTTAAACTTAAAGTGGTAGGGTAAATGGTTTCCAGAAGCAGGACGCTGCTCAAGAATTACAATATCAAGAAGAAATAAAATAAAGATAGAGATTTCTTTATACAAGATTTATTCCCACTCTGTAATTCAAACTGATGAACTTGGGCTTATCTCGAGTCCGGTTGTCTTGAAAGTCCAGTTGTGTTTCAGAGATGGGTCCTTTCAAAAAAATATATGACAGCTTATCTTAATATGTTGAGGGAGTGGATTCATATTATATGAGTTGAAATAGTCGGATTACTTACGTTTTCTTCTCAATATACTTGAAATTAATACTTTTCTTTGTTGTGTCACTGAATTCAATTAGCACATATTCTGAAAAACACATTCAGTCTTTTCGTTTCAGGTATAAACACATTCAACATACTTTAGAAATATATTAGACACAATAACAATGTAAGGTATATAATAAATGCGAATCATAATTTGAATTAATAGGCTATTTATATAATGTTAGCAATACCTCCATCAACACGCTCAACATGGCCAGGGTATCGAGCTGCTCTGTGCACCAACCATGGAGCCTCAACCTTGTCACCAGTCTTCAACTAAATCAAACATGTACAACATGTGTATTTAATCTCGTAGGCTTTCACAAAGTGTAAAACATCACAGTGAAAATCTCAAGCAATACAAATATTTAACTTCACAGCTCTTGAGGTTAATGTGATATAATACATTGTACTCAGTGAAGAAGACATACCTCAAACCTGGCCTTCTTTGCTGAAAGCCACTCATCAAGTTATAACCAGTCCATTGTATTTTAACGTTTTCCTTCTGTACTGACAATACCTTGG